TACCCTATACATATTTATTCCTGGAAATGTTCTTGCTCACTTTGATCTGCAACAACGCTTTAGATAGCTGCGTTAAAATCAAGCCTATCCACCCAAGTGAGTATGGCCCACAAAGGAATGGATGAACATCCTATTCTTTGATGCCTGTCTGGGACTTAAAATATGGAAAGGGGGGGGGGAGAGAAGCTTCTCAAGCATCTATTGAACCATGCCTGTTCCACCCTCCAAAACCCAGCCCAAAGTATAACAAATGCAAGAACTTCTAGGCCTCTAAATATTTAATGTTCAGATCTGCAATAACAGACCATTTTTAAAAAGCAGAATGCAGCCATACAGATGGATAATTCAGAGGTACAGACACTTTGCTTTCCTAGCCAAGTCAGACGAGGCATTTACAATAAATAAAAACCAGCTGCAATTTAATTACCTAGTGCTCCTACAAAACAAAGCTGGATGAAGCTGGATGGGGGGGAGAGAGATGGTCAGCCTCTAAGGACTTCAGCATTATATTATGCATTGGCACGGAATGCTGGCACTGTTAACTAGTGTGATATTTAACTTTTGGTTTAGCCATCATGGGCAAAGTTCTGTTATGGTGCCAAATGATGGGAGTTGGGGGGGGGTTCGCGGAGGGAATCTGCAGCACAGCCTGATCTGCTCTTGTACTTCTAACAGCCTCTCGATTTGCAGAAGTCAGCAAGTGAAAACTCCTCACAGCCTGAAGATAAATATTATCACTTGCTTACATCTGGGAACCTTTGGCTTGAAGGGGAGAGTACAAATTCAATAGATAATACTAGAAATATTGAATGTGTAGCTGTGTGTCATGATAGAATCACAGAGTTAGGGAGACCAAAAGACGAGCTTCAGCAAGTCCTTCCAGCAGGCAGAACTATCTGCCTTAACCCACCCCCACTTAGACTTACAGCGCACCAGTTTCTAGACTATGTTCCAGGACCTCTTCCGAGTCAGCCTGCTCCTATGTGAAGTTTTACAAAGGCACATTTAGGGCAGCGTAACTGGCTCCCCCTCACAGGGTGCTGAGCCGAGGGGGCACCTTCCAATACAATACAATACAATACAATACAATACAATACAATACAATAATCTTTATTGTCGCTGTCCCATACAGAACAACGAAATTGAAAAATCTACATAAGCCATTCAAAAACCAACAAGCCTCCTATCCCAACCTGGTTAGCCCCCTAAAAACTCTGATACCCCATTTTTAAATACAATATAGACTCCTTAGGTAAAGGTAAAGGGACCCCTGACCGTTAGGTCCAGTCGTGACGGACTCTGGGGTTGTGGTGCTCATCTCGCTTTATCGGCTGAGGGAGCCGGCGTACAGCTTCCGGGTCATGTGGCCAGCATGACTAAGCTGCTTCTGGCGAACCAGAGCAGTGCACGGAAACGCCGTTTACCTTCCCACCGGAGTGGTTCCTATTTATCTACTTGCACTTTGACGTGCTTTTGAACTGCTAGGTTGGCTGGAGCTGGGACCGAGCAAAAGGAGCTCACCCCGTCACGGGGATTTGAACCACCAACCTTCCGATTGGCAAGCCCATGAGGCTCAGTGGTTTAGACCACAGCGCCACCCACGTCCCTTCTAGAGACTTCTTACACTGCATTTAAAACCAAAATCACATTTGGATAGAAACTGTTTCTCAGGCGGCTAGTCCTAGTCTTTATGACCCTGTACCTTCTTCCAGAAGGCAGAAGCTGAAAGAGATCATTTCCGGGGTGTGCACTACCCTGCACTATCTCTGCAGCTTTCTTATGACACCTGGAAGCATAGATTTGATCCAAGGTGGGAAGAGTGCATCAGTTATTCTCTCCGCAGTCTTTACAACCCTGGACAGCATTGTTTTTTCCCTGCCTGTGCAGCTCCCAAACCACACACACAGACCATAAGTCTGCCTCCTTCTCAAGGCCTAGTAAGCGCTTGCTTTGGGAAGGCAGCATGAGGGATCTGGCAGGATCCTAGAGTCCTCCTGCCTCTTCCCAAAACTTAGTTAATGCGTGCCCAGATTTGGGAAGAAGGGAGGGCCAGAGCCAGAGCCCTTACATCTCCTTCCCAAAGCCCAGCACCTCCCTTAGCCGGCTTTGGGAAGGCGGCATGAGGGTGGACGACATCAAATTTGGTCTCGCACAAGGTGCCATATTGCCCTGGGTTTTAATGCAATCCCAAATGACCATTTCTTTTCCCGCCCCCTTGCTATGCAGACTGCTTTGCTCCTTGCGCAACTGATCATTCGGAGCCACTAGACCAGCTCAGCCAATTGGTGTCATAGGTTTTTACTGCCAAATGTTTTGCACAAGGAGGATGGATGTAAGAATCATTAACCTTTGCACAAGTATAATGTAGATCAGAGCAATAACATTAAGCACCGGCAGGAAATACTAAACCTATGTAAGTGCCAGTTGGTGACAGCTGCCACTGAAGCGAGCAAGGGCCAGCTATTTGGAAAGTCACCTTAGCTGGTAAAGCAAGTGTGTGCTTCGAGACTCACTCTCTCTTCGTAGAGAGTTGTCTTGTGTTGCAGGAAGGCTTTCAATGGCAGTAAACCTCTGAATGCCAAGTGCTGGGAATCACAAGTTCAGAAGGTGCAGCTGCACTCAGGTCTTGCTTGTGGGCTTCTGGTCGGCCACTGCGAGAGCAGGATGCTGGTCCAGATAGGCTGTTGGTCAAATCCAGCAAACTCTTTTTATGTTCTTGAGAAGTCACTGCATTGCAATGCAGGCAGCAGCAGGTTTAGAGTTTCTGGGGCAGAGGTGAGGAACCTGTGACCCTCCAGATGTTGTTGGATTCCAGCTCCCATCAGCCACATCAAGCCTGGCCAAGAATGATGCGTGTTGCAGTCTAGCTGCACCTGGGAGGCCCACAGATTGCCCAGTCCTAACCTAGGGCTTTTGAGCCTGACATGGCCTCCAAAGCTCCAGTGAATCCTTGCTTATGCCCTGAAGTCAAGCTACCCTGAGGGCAGCTAAATTGGTGGAGAGACCGCAATTAAATCAGGACGTCACCTAATTAAGTCAGGACTGGCTCCTCATTGAGCGGGGAAGTGATAAAGTATCCTCTGGTGAGTCCACTTCTATGTCAGTTACTTCTGGTAAACTTACCTGCTGGTGGCAGTTTCCGCAATGCTCCCATAGGCACCAAATGGTGGCCATTTTTAATTTCCCACAATGCCTCAGCTGTCTAAGATTGCTGTGTGCTGGAACCAGACCTGAATTGCATCATCTAAGTATACCAATGCCTTGAAGTATCTGGGTGACTCAACAATACTCCAGTGAAATGTGTGTGAGAGAGATGGGGTGGAATATCCTAGAACCAGAAATAACCCACCACAACATTTTCTTTGTTTGTTGGGTCCACATGCCCCCCCCTTTATATCTATTGTTTTATTTTTGTCAGCAACCCATGTTAAGAAATACAGCCTCAGAACAGTCTTCTGTTTCCCTCCAATCAATATCACTTTTATTACCGTAGGTTTCTGCTGCCTCTGATAGCTTGTTAAGTTAAACCCCACTCCATGCTCAACTTCAGAGACCTGAGCTGCAATCCATAAGCCATTCTGTGTGCATGTGAGCCCTGCTCATTGCAGCAGGCCATGTTACCATCAAAGTGCTTTGAAGACTAACAAGTGAAGACAATTACGTTTTCTCCAGACCAGAATTTGAAAGCGTTTCCCTTAGCTGTCAAAACACAAAGTGAAAGTTTATCTCACACACGTATCTCGTTGCCTTTGAAATTAGGTTTTTCTCTTTTCTTTTTCTTTTCTGCTTTCCACCTCAAGTGGATAAGTTTGAAAGACCTGTTTGGTGCAACCCCAGAACCACCTTACTGGGAAACAAGCCTTGTTGAACCCAATGGGAATTGCTTCTAGGTAGACATGCATAGCATTGAATAGCATATCACTTTTTTTCTTTTTTGCATTTCTGAAGTCCATAATTTCATTTCCATCATTGGCTAGAATATACAAAACTAACTAAATGTTGGCTTTCTTCTACTTTCTGTCATATATTGTTACTAAAAAATAATAAAAGCACATTCCAGACTAAAAAGAAGAAGTCTTCTTAGGTTCATTTTTGAAATTGAAATTCACTGGGCCTCTTTAAATTTTCTCAGGAGGCGATTTCATGCCACAGCATGTACAAGTTCACAGGCTCAGCCTCTGGCACCTATTGTTTTTATGGTATATAAACAGAGTGGGATGTGCTCTCCCGATGCTGTCAAACTCCGGTTCCCATCAGCCCCAGTCAGTACGGCCAGTAGCCAAGGATGATGGATGTTGTAGTCCAACAATACCTGAAGGATACTATGTGGGTGAACCCTGGATGATGTGTAGATAGTTTGAGTTATACAGCTCCTAGGAAGTTAGGAGAAAGGGGAGGTATGAATGTGCTCCATGAATCTTTGGTATTTGCAGGCCAGGGACATATTTATCAACTTCTTGTTAGCAGCTTTATTATTATTATTTACAAGATCCACAAACATTTCCACATGACTCGTATTGCTTCCATCAATCTAGCCACTCTAAGACTATTTGTACCTGCCAAGTTATCACTTAAGACCAGGCATAGGCAAAGTTGGCCCTCCAAATGTTTTGGGACTACAACTCCCATGATCCCTAGCTAACGGGACCAGTGGTCAGGGATGATGGGAACTGTAGTCCCAAAACATCTGGAGGGCCGACTTTGCCTATGCCTGGCTTAGACTGAGCCACCTGCTGTATCAGGGAAACCAGTTTTGCCAGCATTGAATGGGACTTTGCTACTTGCCTCCATAGAGCAGGAGAATGCAAAGGTTAAAGACAATGCTCTCATACCAGTAATAGGAAACAGAGCCTCCCTGGGCGATTGCCACTTACTGCTCAAGCAGCTTTATTTCGTCAGCACAACTACTTTATTTGTATGCCACCTTTTGCCTAAAAAGTGACATACAGCAACGAGAATTGTAGAGTTGGAAGCGACCCTGAGGATCATCTAGTTCAACTTGCTGCAAAGCAGGAATGTGTGTCTGAAATTGAACCTATGACCTTGGCGTTATCAGCACCACGCTTTAACCAACTGAGCTAACTGCCTTGGATGAAATACAGTGGTACCTTGGGTTACATACGCTTCAGGTTACAGACTCCGCTAACCCAGAAATAGTACCTTGGGTTAAGAACTTTGCTTCAGGATGAGAACAGAAATCATGCTCCAGCAGAGCGGCAGCAGCAGCAGGCCCCATTAGCTAAAGTAGTGCTTCAGGTTAAGAACAGTTTCAGGTTAAGAACGGACCTCCGGAACGAATTAAGTACTTAACCCGAGGTACCACTGTATATCATAACTGTAAAAACTAACAGCTGCAAGAATCATTTCATAATAAAGGCAATAATGGCAACATATGGTAAATACAACAGCATGCAAAAAAATAAAATAAATACTCAGTATTATAAACGTAGCAACATTACACCTCTTGGCAACAGTAAAAAGAACAAGTCTGAACAGTTTCATTTTGTTCCAGCCACTGTGACTATGTCTGTTACAAATTGGGAAAGGACCAAGGCCACATTTTACACTATCCATTTAAAGCACCGATGACAACGCTTTAAACAGTCCTGCCTTCCCCCAAAGATCTTTGGGAGCTGTAGTTTGTCCAGCATGGTGAGAGTTGGAAGGAGACCCCCCCTAGACTCCTCACAGAGCTACAATTCTCAGGACTCCCTTGGAAGAGAGGTTGATTGTTGGACTACTCTGAGCAGGGCCGAATTTAGGTTTGATGAGGCCCTAAGCTACTGGAGCTAATGGGCCCTTCATATGTCCAGCTGTCCTTTGTCAATAACAAATTTTCGCTGTTTTTTGTGTTGAATACAGTGGTGCTACAGTGGTGCCCCGCAAGACGAATGCCTCGCAAGACGGAAAACCCGCTAGACGAAAGGGTTTTCCGTTTTTGAGTTGCTTCGCAGGACGAATTTCCCTATGGGCTTGCTTCGCAAGACGAAAATGTCTTGCGAGTCTTGAGATTTTTTTCCGCTCCCCCCCCCTTTATCTAAGCCGCTAAGCCTTTAATAGCCTTTTAGCAGCTAATCCGCTAAGCCGATAAGCCTTTAATAGCCTTTTAGCAGCTAATCCGCTAAGCCGATAAGCCTTTAATAGCCACTAAACCGCTAATAGCGCTAATCCGTTAAGCCGCTAATAGGGTTGCTTCGCAAGACGAAAAAACCGCTAGACGAAGACACTCGCGGAACGGATTAATTTCGTCTTGCGAGGCACCACTGTATATGGAAATGAGCAAACCAGTGATATTTTAGGGAGCTGGCTAGCAGGTGAGGCCCATTACTTACATCATAGGAGCCTACACAACACACAACATTGCTGCTGTATGTAGGTTTTATTTTGTTTTTTACCTTATATTTTGGAAATGTACAAAAGGTGCAGGGACTGCATACCTTTGAGTATCCCCAGGGGGGGAAAGCAAAAGATTCCTGCATTGCAGTGGGTTGGACTAGATGACCCTCACGGTCCCTTCCAACTCTACAAATCTATAATTAACCCCTAGCCTTTTATGTGGGACTCTTTAGCCATATTAATTTCCCTGAGTCCCAGGCCGGCATAACCATGTAGCATTCTAGGTCAGGGGGAAAATATTCACAATTTCATTTAACATCATAGTGCTTAATCATCAAAACTTCTAAGTGCTTTACATAAAATATGCATTAAAATTACTGGGGGGTGGGAATCAATGTTAAAAACAGGTTAGCCTGCTTCCCGCCCCCCCCAAAAAATCCAACAGTTTTAAAACATACATTATAAAGTAAAATTGCAGATTAAAATACTCATCAATTTTATGTATCTGGGTAAAAAGGTAAAGGGGCCCCTGACCATTAGGTCCAGTCGTGGCCGCCTCTGGGGTTGCGGCGCTCATCTCGCTTTATTGGCCAAGGGAGCCGACGTACAGCTTCCGAATCATGTGGCCGGCCATTTACCTTCCTGCTGGAGCGGTACCTATTTATCTACTTGCACTTTGACTTGCTTTCAAACTGCTAGGTTGGCAGGAGCAGGGACCGAGCAATGGGAGCTCACCCCGTCATGGGGATTCGAACCACCAACCTTCTGATCGGCAAGTCCTAGGCTCTGTGGTTTAACCCACAGCGCCACCCGCAGGCTTGCTTAAACAAGCAAACAAAAAGCTTTGAGCAGGTACAGTGAAGGTGAGTGCCTGATATCAATAGGCAGGGAGTTCCAAATTCTAGCTGCCACTGCCCTGAAAGATTGATTTCTTGCAGATGCCAAATGCATATTACGCGGCACTTGCAACAGAGCCGGTAACAATGTACAGACTCCAGGGAGCAGCTTCTTCCTTGCGCTGCTCCCTTTCCAAGCCTGCCTTCTCTGTTTACTGAAGCAGAGTGCCACTTCACTCCTGCTAATTGGCTCCGAGTGTATTGGCACAGCCCTACGTCCTTTTATCACAAGTCTTGCCCATTCACACTGTCTCCCCACCCACCCTATCCTCTTTCCCTTTTTTTTGAATTGTGCATCTTTGGGGGAAAAGATGAGTACTTCCATTCTTAGAGCTTCCCAATTTGGAAGCCGAAATTAGAGCGTATGCATATAAAAATAATCTCTCGGGAAGAAAATAGCTCCGCAATTACTCGAAGCCTGCAAATTGTGCTGACAAGCCACAATTAAAAGGCCACTGCAAGGACGGGCGGCAAACGCAATTACTCACTTAACCCTATGGATAGGGGCTTGCGGTCTCTTTTTCTGGGAGCAACCATTTCAATGCCCAGGGGGGTGAAATCTTTTTCAGCACTCCCATCATAGGCAACCGGGGGGGGGGGCGTGCATGCTGGTAGTTGGCTGAGCCAAAGGCAAAAGTGGGGCAGAGTGACTGATATGCCTCCTCCCTTTCTGAAGTAGGCTACATTCCAGCCATACAAAAAACCCAGGGGTTCCTGCCTACAGAGACATGCCACTCTCCATTCAGGCAAGCAAGAAGCATGATCACAGTTCAAGGACATTTTACGGAGGAAAAAGCATCCAAAGAAGGCATGGAGCAAGGCTATTGAGAAGGTGATTTATGGAGGGAGTTGCGGTGATCACACAGGGTCCCCGGATGTTTCACAGTCTATTGATCCCTGTGCCACCACTTTATTTCTCGCTGCCACCACCCAGGCCCTACCTGGTACAATACTGAGTCCAGTCAGGGTTAAATTGGAACGTAAACTTCTGTTTATTTATTGCAGTTTAACAAGCGTGTGGTTTCACAAACGGTATCGGTCCATTACAATCATGGGGTGCCTATCCAGACCTATAACTTCCGCTACCTGCTCTCACTCACTAAACCACCTCTCAGATATTTACTTGTCTTGCTAGCCCCTAACTGTTCCTGACTCAACTTATTTCGCTACACTAACTCAACCTACCCACAGACTCTATCCCAATTCACTCCCACTCCAACCAACCACCCAACTCCCAATGAACTCCTCCTTCACCCCTCCCAGAGCTGGTTATATAGTCCCTCTGACTCCACCCCCCTGGGTTCTTATTGGGTAACTTGTTTAACTATTTCACCTCCAGCACTCTCATATGTTAACGTCACAGGGGTGTCATCTAAGTAGAGTCTGACCAAGATGGGCCTGGAGAGTTGCATTTGTTCCTTAGGTTCTGCACCCTTGCTCTAACAGGATCTACACAGGAACATCACATGGCAGGACAGAGTCTCAAAGGTGTGCTCTCCCAAGCCCACATTCCCAGCATGTTCACACTCCTGTGTCAGCGACATCTACACTGGCTTGGTCATGTCCACAGAACGGAAGATGGCAGGATCCCCAAAGACGTGGTCTACAGGGAGAACAGGCCCATTGGCGGACCAACCTTGTGTTACAAAGACGTCTGCAAACATGGCATGAAGCCTGGCAACATAAACCCCACCGTGTGGGAATCCCTTGCAGATGACCCCACACTGCCTGGAGACAGACAAGATAGGTTGAGCATCCATAGCAGTGACCAGAGGAGAAATGACCGCTGGGAGGAGAACAGTGAGAAGAAACATCATGGTGCACCTGCAGCAGCACAGCCAGGCGCCTTCATCTGCCCCAGCTGCAACAAAACATGTCTCTCCTGCATCGGTCTCTACAGCCACAGCAGGCGCTGTAACTCTCCAACAGTATGACTTCACCCCAGAAGGCGCAGTCTTCCATTATCTCCCAAGACAGACGGATGCCAGTCAACATAGGATCACAGGAAGCTGCCCTATACAGAGTCAGGCTGTTGGTCCATCTAGCTCAGTATTGTCTACACTGTCTGGTAGCAGGTCTCTAGGATTGCAGACAAGGAGTCTATCCCAGTCCTACCTTGAAGATGCTGGGAGTTGAATCTGGGACCTTCTGCATGCAAAGCAATTGCTCTATGGCCCAGCTTTAGCCTTTAAAACACACACACACACACACCATGGAGGAGACCCTAGGAATACATTGCTGCCGTCTCAGATGCTGCCAATCCTTCTTCAAGAGGTTTAGGAAACAAAAACAATGGCAGAATACTGGAGGCCTGTTAGCCTTTTTCAGCTTGCATTCCCCTGTAAGCTGTGAGACTGTTTTAATTAAGGCAGGGGGGACCTGTCACCTGTGACTCAAAACCCTTTGCGATTCCACGGGTTGCCCCTGCTTCCTATTCCCCGTCATTAAAATGTTGTGCCTGCTGCATACACAAGATCCTCTCCGGATGAGTCACAGTGCTGTCCCCTGTTCCCGGATGACTTTGCCAACATTTTCCTCGAATGAAAAGTCCTCATAGAGGGCCATCGGTGATCATTCCACTCAGCTAATCTAAAATGAACAAGACATATACTTAAACGAACCCATGCAGAAGTAATCTGAAATCAGCATGCTATGGTGGTGAGCCTGACGGTGGCTTGTCTGCTCCCAGGCTGTCATAGGCGGGCTGGTTTACACACCACCTTCTGCCATTTTCCCAGGCTGGCAAAATGACAACCCGGGGATTATTATTACCATTTAAAGCATCTGTGCTGCTTGCCAAAGCAGATATTGAGAGCCAGTGCCCCTTCCAGGTGTCCTTGGACTCAAACTCCCA